TGCAAGAATGTGTCTCTACACTGTCTGGCTGAGGTGCACTCTCTCCTGGTTGGCATGGTCATGTAGAGCTTGTGGTTGTCCAGACTTATCTCCTGCTGGCACAAATGTCCAACCCCCTTCCATTAGTTCTTTTACTATCTTCATTAAGTTTAATTTTACTTTCTTTATCACTTTGGCTGGAGCATTTTCCCCACAGCCTCGGCCAGCAGGTTCTCTCAACAAAAGCTGCTCAGAGATCACCTCTGCAGCCACTTTAACAAAAGCCCACAACATTTTGACCAATCACAACGCTCGACACGTAGTGCTGTGAGAAATAACCTGGCAGAAAACAAGACGAGGTCTCGGCAGGTGATAAGAGTGGCGAACTTCGCTATTTTTGTCATGTACACAAGTAAGCGAGACACAAGACTGGACGTTCCCATGGACTATAAATTAGGATTTAATCCAAAAGTTAATGCTAGAATTTCAAGCAAGGATATCAAATAATGAGGAGTACTCAGAATATATTTTGTAAATGACTCTCAGGTACAAACACACCAGTTATCTGTAAAACTGATTCACTTATAGCTGTTTTGTGTTTTCTAAGATCAATTAATAATAATAATAATTATAATAATAATAATAATAATAATAATATTTATTTGTAACACACTTGACATTTTAAAAAATCTCAAAGCGCTACAATCAAATAATTTGACTACAAATTTGACTAAAAGTAATTTGGTTGAAAATGACCATCTTATCATTTTCTGCAAGTTTCATTTAAGTTTGTCTGTTTCTAAGAAATTTTACTAAAACACATGCATGTGAAAATGTGGTGCAAACCACAATTAATGAGCATTAATGTGATTTGACAGGTGATGGACACACAGAATGTGCACCAACAGGAAAATGAAACTAAACGTAAAACAGATTATCCTTTTCATTCTCTTTTTTCCTGTATCATCTCAGTCCCGACAAAGAGCCTSTCTGTTGATCTCCTGTCTTGTGTCGCACCAGCCTGTAACACGAGAATGATTCCATAACAGCAGATTTCTGTAAACACACCATGACAGCTTCCAGGAACTGGAGGCTGATTTCACAGAGGAGGCGGTAGTGGATGCAGCAATAACAGGGACACCACAGCTTTTTTTTTATGTCAGACTTGTACCATTAAAGCCTGTGAGACTTCAAAACAAAGCACTCTTTGCTGTGGATACAAGCTTAGGCTCTACGCCACTCCAGACCTGGAAACAAGCTTCAGTTGTACACCACAGGTTGTCTTCCCAGCTGAAAGAAAGGACTCAAAGTCTTCATGTTGCTTTCACACAAAGTGCAACTAAAAGTAAACCTTTAAGGTTGATGGGTCAAAAAAGAAAAGTACTAAGACAGTTAAAGCATGAAATCAAAGCAAATCCTCCCAACTCCAGAACAATACTAATCACAGACAGCTGATTTAATCCARTTCAACTAAAAACACCTGTAAATTTAGCTTAGATTGTAGCCTCYGTCGCATAAAGGTGCTGAAGTATTCCCCAGGCTATGATGATGTCCTCTGTACAACATCAAGCAATTACACATCAAACACAGTCYTTTAGATCAAAGCGTGACTATTTATGTTAATTGTGTGCCTCACTACAGAGRTGCAGTGATTGCAGTTAATTTATGGGATGACAAAAAAAATGAAAATAAAACTGTCCGCAATAACCAAAGCTGCAGGACAAACAGCCACATTGTTCACCAACCAGAACATGGCGCYACACACTTCCTGATGTCTCAGACTCAGGCAGTAAAAAAGTTTTTATCATATGGGTGAACTGTGTTCTAACATGAAGAGAAAACGGATAGCCATCTCATAATAAGTTAAAAAAAAACACAGCTGGCACTATGTAAAGGCTTTGAACATCAGGTTCTACTTCTCAGGAAGTAGATAATCTCTGAATTATGCAAAACGCTGTTGAGCAATCAACTTCGCTTTACTGTTGACATTTTTCTTAACTGTTTTCATTCCAGTTCTCATACATGACCATTTCTGGAATAATGTGGTTTTTTTCCCCCTAAAACATTCATAGTTGAACTTTGAATCGTTTAATTTTAAGCAAGGTGCCTAACTCAAGGGATGACAAATGTTGTCTAATAATAAATAAACAAAAAAAATAAAGAGTATTTTTAGAAACCTTGGGGGCAGCATTACAATAAATGTACACAATAGTACAGTCCTGCAGGAATAAAGGTAACAAGGTGATATTTAATGAACTACTGGCTAGGGGTGTAAGTAAATACTGCGGTATTTCATTTCCTGATACTGAATCAACTGACTGAAGCACTGTRTCGATTTTTAATTAAGGTTTAAAATGTAAACCTCCATTATTTTAAATTACATTGAAGTGTCCCATCTGGGACAGTCTTACTCCTGACTGCAGCCTGCAAACAGTGTTGTCACATTATGGCAGGCAGGCATTTATATATTCACCCAAGCWGATGGGGGTCCTCGATGGGGGGCCAAATGCAACGATATAAAACACAGTGTATTGAAATGACTGGAGTACCCCTTAAGATAGAGGTTCATTTCATCTGTTTACTGAACTTTAGCTCAAGTTATAGGCTATTGTTAGTGTGGTGGGTGGCAATATTTTTAAAAGAAATTAATACTAGAAATCCTATTTCATCCCAGTTTTCAATAATTAGGCCTAATGTAGTGACAAGGAGTATGAAATGTATAAAATAAATATAAAACATACTTTTTAAATTTGAATTTTTGGAGAAAAATGTTGATGTATTGCCTTGCTTACAATATCAAGGTATTGTATTGTGATCTGTGTCATGATATGTATCAAATCACCAAATCCTTCCCAATACACAGGCCTACCACTGGCCAAAGACTTAGTGTGAATAAGCAATGTCTCCTCCGAAGCCGGAGACGTTAATGTGCCGAATTCAACACATGTCCTTGGAAAGAAAGGAGATTTGGTGGATTATCTATGATGCCAAGTATTTCTGGGGTGTTTAAAAAATTGAAAAAAATTGTAAACTGTGACCACAAAACCAGAACTAAACCATGGTTATGATTTAACAAACAACTTAAAAGAAGAGAGAAATTTTTAAAAAGCAGCCAATAAACCAAAACAAAAAAATAAAAAAAGTCATTTTGAAGCTAAATATAAACAAAAAGGAGTAAATTGTTCAAGTTTTTCTCAACATTTTAGTAACAAACTGAAGTAATAAAATTAAAAAAAAACAGCACTTGCACATTGTGATTTGTGTCTGCCTCAGGTTTGTGTAAGTGATGTCCCGGTAAAACTGAAAAACCTGAAAAATGTCCACAATTCATTTCTTTTTCTCCAAAGAAAGGCTTCAGCTCTGTGATGGTGACCACAGGCCGAGTTCAGAGAGGTTCAGAGCCCTCAGCACTTTTAGCAGGAAGAAAGAAAGAAAAGAAAATCAATACTCCATAAAGAGCTTTTCGCAGTAGAGCTTCTGCGTGCATCTATTTTTATTTTTTTTATATATTTTTTGTTCCCCTTCCACATTAAGTAGAGAAAAACACAGTTTTGCAGCCATTTCTGCAACACTGCACACGGCCAGCAGGACCATGAACACATGGATCCTCCTACAAACTCTTTCTGGTTGGGTTTTTCAGTCCCATTTCTGGTGTTTACTGCTCAAACAACTGCAGAACATGAAATGTGTCCAAAAAATAAAAAAGGAAGTTGAGCCGATAATACATCAGCTCTGTTGCGACACCCACTAACCACTTCAGCTGAACCTGTTCTACATGTGGCCTGAGGGGATGGAAGTTGTGACACTGCCAACCAGCTTTTCTCTGCCTTTAAGCCAGAACCCTGACACGTTCTGCTGGTCGGAGCTGAAGAACAAATCTATACTATACGCTGCTCATTAGTACAAAAGCACAGTGACAGAGGACACAAGCTTTGGTTTGTAAGCACTGAGGAATCCTTGTTCAGCTCTTACTCTTGTGGTTTCCTTAATTTATTCTTTTTTTTACCTCTATATCAGCATCAAAACCTGCAGAATACTGTGCTGTGGCTTTTGTAAAAGTATGCACAGCATTTGTAAAAAAAAAAAAAAGAGTTTAAAAATCTTTTTTTAAGAACAAGTGAAAAAAACATCCTCTTTTCAGCTCTTCAGTGTAGGTATATGTCACTACAGAAACGTCATTCAAAGTTTTAACGGGTCCCAGAAAGTTGATTTTTACATGAAAGAAAATGTATTTGGATGTCTTTATGGTTTATACACAACCGCAGTTTAACATTTATGGTTTTATGAAATTTTGCAACATTTTTTTGTTTTACGGGTGCCACAGCCACGTTTGAGCCGATTAAACTTTTCAAAGGTTTTTGCAAACAAACGCAAATCCCACAGTCTCTACACTTTTTATTCATTAATTCATCGTTGGAARTTTGGTCTTCTTTCACACGGAGGGTCTCTCACTGCTGCAGGACTTGTGTTTTTATTTTTCCCAAATCCCCTCAGAGTACAAACAGCACACATCCAAACTCTTAACCACTTCCCACTCATCACCCTGACAAGAAAAACTGGAAGCACACTGGTTGGAGTCCTAACTGGGCACAACCTGCTCCATCGCCACAAAATGGTGATGGGACTCTATGACAATGATCTGTGTGATGTCTGTTGAATTAGAGACCTCTTTGCATGACTTAGACCACTGCCTAGCTCTGAGCAGTCAAAGGAAAAGAGTTCTTGGAGACCCCATTATGGATCCTGAGAAGCTCAGAACACAGTGTTTCTAACGTCGTGTCTGAGGGACGCAAAGGTTTGAATAAAGAGTATTTTTTTTTTTTTTTTTTACTGAATCGATTTAAGCTACAACATGAAACCAGGTGCATGACAGAGCTCATGCTGCGTTTGATGCAGCCTCCGGTTCACCGGTGCAACAAACTGCAGAGCATCCATCACTCTGCACAAACTGCTCAGCAGGAGCCCTGAGCCCAGACGTGTCCTACAACCTCCAGCAATAAGAATAAAAAGTTTCCACTCACCCAGTGTCCCGTTGGGATGCCTGTGTGCAGGTTCAGGTGTGCAGCAGGAGGAGCAGCGGSTGACTGGAGATGATTTGTCCCATTATGACATTCCACCGCCGCCTCTCTTCTTCCGGTGGGGAGCGCCGACAGAGCAGACCGCCTCTTCCCCTTCACGGGTTTTCCTGCTGGGGGGGCTTCCCGTGAAGCCTCCCTGAGCTGCGGCACCACCGACACGGACACTCCTGCTGCTCTCTCCGGCACCTTCTTCCAGTCTGACAGCTGCACGGCGGCGGCGCACTGAGCCCAACTTTTATTACTCCAGCAGACAAATGAGCAGACGGGTCCTAAAACCCGCCTCTTTCTCCTCAGCAAAGCTACCGTGAACACCGAGGTTTAAACCCAACGAAAATAACTCTGAGCTGTTTGTTCATGATTAAAACAGCCCTGGCTTTTATGAAAGGCTTTAAAATGGCACGCTCCACCAGATGTGGCATCTTTATATTGATTAAAGACCGGACTGTGTGTTCACAGCGAACAGCGCCCCTACTGGTCATATTTATATAACATTTCCTAAAAGATCAAATCCCATGTTAGAGTAAAAGACCTGCAGAAGGAGATRAAACCATCCTGTGGTCCTTTAAACCAGCTTTTTGAAAACAACAGCAGAGCTACTGAAAACTCATCTGTCATCTATAAAACAGTAAGAATAACTCAGGTGAGGAAATACTACTGAAATTGCAACACCTCCCATGGGAAATTATATATATATAT